CGGTTACTCCACCTTTTTCTCTTCTTCCTTCCTCCCTCCCTCCTCCCACCGGTTCTCGAGCCTGGCGTTCGCTTGCGCATAGTACCGCTGGGATAATTCGCGGCGTTTGTGTAATGGAAAGCGATGCGCCCTCTTCGAAAAGGATGCCATGCACTTTTAGCGACCGTACCTCGATAAGACCACAACGCATGCACCACTACTCACAACTCTGCATTATTCGTTCCGCGCGATTATGAATACTCGTTTTTATACGTCTTCTTCTCCGAAAAACATTCCAGCCCTTCTAAAAAACGTACAAGAAAAAACGTTACCCTGACATTTTTGAACGATCTAAGCAAGTAAAGCCAAAAAACGGACCGACCAAAGAAACGTTGATCTGAATAGGCACAAACGCCGAGAATGAACTGCATCTGTCCACCTGTGTGCGTGTTGCCTTTGCCGTGCGCAGTGCCTCCGTGCCTTCTTCCTCACTTGCCCTGTCGTTTTGGTGCGTGGCGGTAGCGAAATCGCAATTGCAGCTGTCTCCCCTCGCACCGGGCCGTGGCGTGCAGCGACACCGGCCTCCGCTCCGCTGAACGTTCGCGTCTCTCGACGGCAGCTCCAGCAGCAAGCGCCAGCGATCCCAGCCTCGCCCCACCAGCCCCGCCGCTTGGAACGGCCCTCCATCCCGCCTAGCCACTCGGCCCGCCACCCCGGCCTCACGCCCAGCTTCCCCGGAGCCCCCCCCGCCCGCGCGCGACGCCGTGCCCTGCGCCTCGCCCACCCCTTTCCCTCGCTGCAGGGGCGCCAATCCGATATCTCCCCTGTCCCCGACCCTAGGCCCAACCATCACACCCGCCGCCCCACACGATCTCTTCACCTCTTACTCTACCCGCTTTGCTGCTGTCCCCCCCGCACGCCACCCCGTCGCCCACGCCGTATCCGCGCCTGCGCGCTTTCGCACCGCCTCGCGAACTCGCTACGTCCCGCTGCCTTCCCCGTTTCCGACAGACCCCTCCACCTCACGCAGCAAACGCCCTTCCTCTGTCCCCTTGCCCTCACCCCACCCCCCATTTTCTACACTTCGTTGGTCCACGTTGCCTCCCGCTTCGCCAGACCGCCCTCACTCACCCGCAGCAACGGCCCTCCTCCCTGTCCCTCTTGCCTCACCGCCACCCGCCCATTTTCTCCACTTCCGTGCTCCACTCTGCCTCCCCGCCTCCGCCAACCCCGCCCTCCACACTCACCCCACAACGCCGTCCCTTCTCCTTGCCCTCACCGCCCACCCCCCCTTTCTATCACTTCCGTTGGCGTTTCACGTGCCTCCGCTCCCCAACACCACCCACGGCTCCCAGCTCTGCGCCCCCCGCCTCCCCGCCATATCCGCCGCTCATCACCACTTCCGTTGCGTCCCCCGTCTCCTCGCTTCCGCCACTGCCATCTCACAGCCCGCTGTCCTCCTCACCGCAACCCTGCGACCCACCGATTTATCGCGCGATTCCCGCACCATCATGCTTTCCGCATCCGCTCGCCTCGATCTCTTTTTGGCGCCGCCGGTAATCACTCGACTTCCCTCATATCCGCCGCTGACCCACGATCCTCGCTAACTCTCCCTATGCCGTGCCTGCCTTACCAACTTCGTCTTCCTCACCCATCACAATGCCCATCGTTTCATTCCCCGTGCTCTTCACTCCAATTCCCGCATACTTGCCCACCCCCCTCGGCAGTCCCCGTCCACACGTGTCTCTTGACCTTACCAACTCGCCTTCCTCCCATTCCTCCCACGGACATTTTTTCCTCTCTCAGATCCCTGCTACTTCACTCTCTCCGCAACCTCGAACCTCTCAATCCTCTGCTCAGCCCGTGCTGCACTTGCCAATCCCGCCAATACGTCCTTTACACGTTTCCTCTTCACACGTGCCGCCGCTTGTCCTTGCCCTCTCGTTTTCCCCGCTGCATCCGCGGCTCCCTGACCATTTTCGCCTTCCCGCCGTGTCCCGCTTTCGTCTATTCGCTGCTCTAAGGTGCCCACGCTTCCCACCTACCTCCCCGGCGACCAATCGTCAACTGAAGATTCCAGGCTTCCCCGCCATCTCTCCCGTGCCACCAGTCCGTGCCCATCAATTGGGGTTGCCCGCCCCCCCTTCCCGTCTCCTTCCTGCGCACACCTCGCGACCAATCACACTGAACCCAGCTACCGCCTCCCTCACCGCCGCTCCCCTCCAACCCGCCCCGCCTCTTGCCGAGCGTGCGCCGCTATCCTCCGGCGAGTGCCTTAAAGCCTCCTCCGTCCTCCCTTCCCTTCTCCAACCTCTCTCAGCCCCCCCGCCCCGCCCACTCCGCCCCGAGCGAGCACCTATTCTCGGAATAGCCCCTCCCGGCCCACCGTTCCCTATGCCTATCTCCTCTCATCTTTCCTCCGCCAGCAATTAGCGCTTCTCTTCAATTATTCCATTGCGTAGTTCTCGGCTGCTACGCACCTCCCTTCCTACTTCGCCTTTCCCCCCTCCCCGCTCCCTGCGCCCGGTGTTTCGCCGCCCGCCCGCCCGCCCTCCACCCTCTCCCTTTTCCGCCTCCTTTCTCGGCCCTCCCCCGCCCACGCGCCCACTATTCTCCCCTTTGCGCAAATCTAAGTAACGTCCCCCGCTCGTTTCCCCTCATCGCTCCGACGAACACCGCTCAGCCCGGCCCGCTTCTCTATCCCGTCCACCGTCATACCCTCAAGCCAGCGCACCCCTACTTAAGCCTCCTTACCCTTCGTATTCCCCCTGCCTCCCTCCGTGCTCCCTCGCCGCCCTCCGCAAGCGCGCCCCGGAGCAGGGCGCGGAAGGGCGGGAACACCTCCCGGGTGGAGTCCTGAGGCCGCAGCGCCCACAGGTCGCACAGCTCCAGCGGGCGGCGGAAGCCGCGCCACACGATGGCCGTGCACCACGAGAAGAAGAGCCGCGACGGAAACGATGCGCTCTCCTCCGGGCACGGGTTCTGCGAAGACGCAAGCCCACCGCGCTGCAGAGCGCCCGCCCGCCATGGCGCCAACACCCCTTCTTACAGAGGCCTTTGCGCCCGCCCGCCATGGCACCTTGCCCAAACACCGGACTCCCCTTCTGTTAGTGGCCTTAGCGCCCGCCCTTCTCATCACGGCCTTAGTGGCCTTAATGCTGGCCCGCCATGGGGCCTGCCATGGTGCCCCACCCGAACACCCGACTCCCCTTCTCACAACGGCGGTATTCGCCTGAACGACCGCTCCACCATGGCGCCACGCCAAACTCCCCGCCGACTCCCATTCTCACAGTGGCCTTAGCTACCACGAAGGAGTGGCGAAATCTTAAAAATTGCAAAATTGTGATATTCGAGAAGTCATTATTCCCTTAGACAATAACATCGGTTATCCCCAACCCGCCAATGAGATATACTTGGTGTGGCAGGAGGGGTCGGACGCGGTCTTTGACCCATTGTGTAAGATACTGCTCCGGCATTCATATGGAATTGATCAGTATAAACAACCAATCAGAGCAGTTCACCCACGACCTCTATCTTGGCAGGGGCCGCAAGCTACTATTGCACCCCTTCGAGTAAACTTCGGGCTCGGGAAAATTATACGCGAATTTAATCATAATAAGCATTGATCCCAGACTAATTTGGTTTTTAATTTTATACGCTACAACAATAACTATAAATTGTTCTATCCAGTATTCAATCACTTATTAAAAATAAAGTTTAACACTTGTTTACCACTGAAATTCGAGTAATTGGTATACATTTAATAAGAAATATTACACACTACGGTAAGTTCAAAAACTATTCTTTCATTTTGATGCTTATGTAATTTTATCCTTTTGTAGACGACAAAAAATGATTTCATTAACTCTCTGACTGAGGGTCGAGAGAAATTTTGCCAATTACATGTTACTACAAAGAGAACACAGCGCAGCAACAGCTCTTTATTTTGTACGGAATTTTCTTACGCAACAGTGATTCGACACTTCATAAGCTAAATGAGATCGGCTTGCATGAAAGTTGTTTGGATCTTTTATCATTCAATTGCGTTCAAAATTTTTAACATACCTTATTTATTCTGAACGGAATGAAATCTTGGAAAATTTAAGGTTATTACTTAATATCTAAGTCTTCGTCAGAATAGAAATGAGTTCACTAGATGAAAATATGGGAAATGTGCATATCAAACAGACAGCATCCAGGGCTGGATTAATATCTTGAGGGGCCTAAGTGTAGTAAAATATTACTGAGGCATAACAAAATCGACCTAGAAAACTACAACTTTGTATTTTTCAAAATTAATATTAAAATATTTTTAAAATGAATTCATTAATAGATCCGTAAATGACCTTTTTAAACATAATTGCGGGACCCTACGTAGAGCGACCCTAAGCACGCGCCTAATATGACTCGTAATAATTCATCCCTCCTAGTATGACTATTTAAATTTTCTTCGTTGGCTAATTTCAGGCGTGTCAACTGCTGAGGGCATTAGTCCCAAATGTGTAATGCATGTTTCCTATTGCGGGGGTGGCGGTGATTCCATCCCCCCAGCTGGATAGCGAGATCCGGCGCCGACTTGGCGAGATCCGGCCCGCGGGATTGAGGGGATTTTTCCCAACCAGGTATCTCCCAGCAGCGTGGCACCGCACTGGCCGGCACTAGCTCTAAGCTCCCAAATTGATTCCGCAATACGTGAGGTAGTGTAGATCATGTGAGTGTAAGTAAAGGGTGATGAAGGATACAAGCGCGCTGTCCTTGGCCCGTAGTGTTCCGGCGTTGCCTGATGTTAATCGGAGAAAGCACCTAAAATTATGTACGACCAGTATTTACTAGGCTGTCCGGGTGACGGCGCGTCCATGGCGAAGGTGCCGACGTTTCGGTCGCCATTCTGCGACTTTCCTCAGGGCGTAATGCCGCAGAATGGGAAGAGAGGAAGGTTGCAGAATGGCGACCGAAACGTCGGCACCTTCGCCATGGCCGCGGCGTCACCCGGACAGCCTAGTAAATAATGACTCCGGCCGCGGGAGCCTAAGCTCTCATATGTACCTCCAGTACAGCTAGCCACCAGAATACTCCTCTAGACATCGGCTAAGTTCGATCTTTCTACGTAGTGTCTAAAATCCTGCCACCGAGAGGTCTCCACCCTGGGTGCTCCCGGTCGGAGGCACTGCAGTGACATCAGCTGAGTCATCTTTGCCGGTCATTTACTTCGGTAATACGTAATCTTTTTCCTCTTGAGGAACCCCCTTTTGTTTCGCACATGACGTAACATGTCTGGCAGCGTCAGGGGGCTTCTTGGGCGCGCTTCCCACGAGACCCGTCAAGGCTGCGCAGAGGGCAAAAACTCACTTCCTGCACGGGGAAGCTGGGCTCCCGCGGGGCGGCGTCGGCGAAGCTGGCCAGCAGCAGCTGCAGGAGCGTGGCGCACCACGTTGCCACGAAGCTCGCGGAGCGGAAGATACTGCCGTCCTGCGAACAGACCGTTACTCGATTAATCGATTTTCCCGGCATGTCAACTGGAATGGTCAGTCAAATGATCTTGGCTGTCCGGGTGACGCCGCGTCCAAGGGTGTGGTGCACACATTTCCACCATCTTGTCGTCGCGTCCGTCAATGCTGGTCAGCTAGAGGAAGACCACGACATCACTCTGGTATCGGAAGTCTTAGGACTTCACTGCAGTTAATTAGTCCTGTTTGTGTAGTGCACGTTTTTATCCCGAGATACGGTCATGATTTCTTTCCTGCTAGATAGTGAGATTCGGTGCCGACCTAGTCGTCGGCTGGCGGAGCTCCTCGAGGTATCTCTCCCAAGGGAGGCATCGCACTAAATGGAACAAGCTCTAACCTCCCGACATTTCTCAAAAATATTTCTAAATTTCTTAGTTTTTTTCGGCGATATACTACTAGTAGAATAAAGAAGATGAAGACAATTTTTTCTGAATAATAACATCCTTCTAAATAAAATCTTTAAATGAGTTCATGTCCAATTTTTTTCCAAATTTGAGTAATTTTTGCAACATTTTGTCATAAATAGAGGCAATTTTAAGAACAAGATTTTCTTAAACGCGTCTGCATTTTTTCTCTCGAATGGTGGGAAGTACGCTTTTAAGTATATAGCAGGTCTGTTTTAGCATCACCTGTTAAATATGTTGCACGACTTCCTTGGGGAACAGTTCCTATTCGCACCCTGGGAATAGAATGGGCGTTACTTGCACTGGCTTCATACCTGTCACTGATTTGATAAACACTAGCAAACTGTACAAAATAAGTGATAATACGGCAGCCATGCAGCGTTACCTTTCAAGCAAGAGCTTGTGTACGAAACATGCAGGCGATGATACAAGCATACAATTGTATGTTCTGTGCAAATGTAAAGATGAATTTCCAGCTACTTACAACTCTTGGCTACACGATTAGTTTGTATGCAGCATTAACCGCAAGTGAGTCAACTTTCTCAACACTCAATTAACCTTAAAGATTTGCTATGATGCACGAAAGAATTATACATCTAGCTTTCGTAGCATAATACTAGACATCACGTTCCTTCGGGTTACTTTTTAATTGTGTTTTGGTAGTCGATTTGGCAACGCTGGGTGTTGGCAATAGGTCACTGAAAGAACCACTTTTTTCTCAGAAATGCATTTTTCCTGTGTTAGTTTCCTTGTCTCGTGTTAAACGGTACTTCGAAGGAACTCCCAGACACCCACTTTAAACATTTCAGGCTTCGGCGTTTATGACTCGGACACGGTACTCTGGGTCATAAAGGTCTGCCTCTCTCATAGCATTCAGTTACGGCAATCTCACTGATGGTAAATCAGCGTTAATTTTATTATACCCTGTATGTGTATCTGCTAACTGCAAATTCACATTTACAAATGATACGCTTCGCAAATGACAAAAGGAATGTTACGATACATCCAATATTTGAAGAACTATTTTCATTTTGATTTTTGTCAGTACCGATATCCTATTTAAGGAAGTAAAAATTGTGTTAACAATATGCCAGAATCGACACAGAAACTAATACACTTACAGTCTGGTAATAATTGACAGTTATCATGCGGATACTTAGAACGTGAATCTTTCTCCTTGAAAGTACATTACCTGTTTGTAGTCTTAATTACAAGTAAATGAAAATTTAAAAAAAACAACATATTTTAAGGTAGAATCCATCATTTGTGTGTTTGTAAAGAGTGAATCAAAAATAAATGATAATAGAAATGTCCGATTTTACGGATATGCGTATATCGAATATTCGAGTTATCGAAAAGTATCTTTATATCGATATTGTAAGAATTAAGGTTTTTTCTGCGGTGAAGAGTTACAGCAATCGACAGCGAAACCGATCTCCTGCGCCTGCGAAGTTCGAATTTCACATAACGTTTGAGCATCTTCTCAGAAGATAGATATTGCAGTTGATTGCTGCACGTTATGCCGTGAAAAAAATCCCTGTTAGTCTCAATGTATCCGCAATATTGACACCTTTTAAAGTCAAGAGTACCAAATCTCTAATTTTGTTCATTCTTATAGAAACACATGGAATCAAATCAGTAAGGATTTAAATCAGAGAGAAGTGTACAGCGTTCGTCAAATATAGCAATCTTATGATCATGTCCTGTTCGTGTGAAGCATCTCTTTTCATGAGATCAAGATTTCTATTTATTACTGTACTCTAACCGCAAAGGCGCAAGGCTCGCAAAGGCGATTAAATCGTGTCGCTGGAATTTCCAATTCGCGCCCCTACCCACACCAGTCGCAAATTTTCGAGCGCTATCAAACGAATTTCGCGAGAACTAAAGAAAGGTACCATTTTAGCACTGAACGTCAAGAGGAAAATGTCGGCGTACCCAACGAGAAGTGGAAAGTCTACAACGTGGTTGTTACAGAATCGAGTATACGAAGCTCGAAAACGGGGAAAATTAAATTCCACAAATTTACCGATTCTGATGATAATTTAAAATCTTACAAAAGAAGAATGGAATTTGAACTTCAACCCGACAAACCACGCGTGCAACCTAGGGGTTATAGATCGTGAAGAGCTTTGTCTTATAAAGATACTCATTTAAATCTGTTTTCTCTGCAGAAGTTTTTTTTTTTGTATATTATATTTGTTTCATTATTACGTTATGTTATCTGTTTGTATAATCTAATTAATTTGTTAGTATATTTGTTAGTAACTTACTTGTAGTGATATAGAATCGATAGTAGTGGTGTGTTATGTAATCGATACGTGGTATCGATAGGCGTGGTCAGGACCCACCTGGTCAGCAAGCGCGCGACTCTCGTGGAGCAGCTGCGGCACGCCACACAGGGTGAGCGCCAGCCAGAAGAGGAAGAGCACGGGCGAGATGCGGCGGCCGCGCGCGCGGTGCCACACGCCCAGCATCCCGGCCAGGGCGAAGGTGAGCAGGCGCACGGCGGGCGCCACGTAGTCGGCCCCGTGCGACGCCACCCGCGCCGCCAGCTGGCGCGACTCGAAGCCCGTGTCGGCCGCCGACACCAGACACAGCACAGCGCACAGCGCCTGGGCCAACGGTACAGAGTGACGGTGGAGCATTGCTGAACGTAAATGGTTAGGATTGGGAGGTGGAGAGAGGAATCTTCGCGCCGGCCGCCGACACCAGACACCACTGCGCACAGCGCCTGGGTCAACAGTAGAGCTTGACGATGGAGCATTGCTGAGTGTACAGGTTACGATTGGAAGCGGGAGAGAGCAATCTCACGCTGGCCGCCGCCGACATCAGGCACAGCACCGCGCACGGCGCCTGGGCCAACAGTAGAGCTTGACAATGGAGCATTGCTGAGTGTACAGGTTACGATTGGAAGCGGGAGAGAGCAATCTCACGCTGGCCGCCGACACCAGGCACAGCACCGCGCACAGCGCCTGGGTCATTGGTGGAGAGTGACGGTGCAGCACGGCTGGGCGTACGCAGTAGGATTAGGATGTGAAGGGACGAATCTCATGTCGGGCTGTTGACATCAAGAGAATGACCCGCTGCCACAGCCTAAACTGCGGTCGATGAGACTGGATGGTCATGACGGTCGCCAACACCAGATAAGGCACTCACTGCATACAGCGCCTGAATCGTCGGCAAAGAGGTCGCGGTTCAGCCGTATGGGGTAGGATTAGGAGGCGGAAGGATACATTGCATGTCGACCCTACAGAAGAGTGTGGACCTCAATGTGTTAAAGTGTTGTGAGGGGTAGGATTTAATCTGGACCCGAATAAATGGCAAGGTCATGCCGACTGCTGGCACTTGACTCAGTACCGCTGACGGCACCTGATCGGCATTAGATGTAGGAGATAGTTGAGGGTCGGAAACGGAGAGTTGGCGCTCGTTTCATTCACCGTCACCAGCGTCCGAATCCGAGAGGAAAGAGTGCCATTCAGCATTATGTGTAGAAGGTAGGATTAGTACTCAAAGGAACTGGACGCATGCCGTTCGTCACCAGGCAGAGAGCAGCTACCATCACCTGAATGTTAGCAGAACTTGCCATTAAGCATTTGACGTAGGGGTCGGATGAAGTTCGAATGAAACCACCGAACGAGGCAACGAGCAGCTACCAACATAACAAGCCGTGAGATTTAGCACAGAGTGTCACCGTCATCAATGGACGTGGGGGATAGGGAGACGACGTAGAGGCGTTGCAAGTGTCGTCCATCGTCACCAGGAACCATATATATCAATGGCCCGCATTTTAATCCGTCAACAGAGCGTGAGAATCAGCACTGCTCGTCGTGAGGAAGAGGAACCGAACTCAGTCCAGTCTTCTTCAGTACACGAGTATACTATGAGTACACTAAAATCGCACTTTTGTTTACAAACAGTTCAGTTATCAAGAATCAATTCTACTTTTCTAGTTTTGTAGTGCCGCGAACATTTCACATATTATATACCGGCCAAATTGAGAACTATTGAGAATTCTACTTTTACAAGTCAAAAAAGGGTTTGCTAACTAAAACTTTTGGCAGGGAAAATTCGTTTTGTACTATGAGAATCTAGTAATTCTTCAGTTTATCATATTACACATCTGGTTTCGGGAGTTTATCATAAGTTCATCTTGTTTGTCACTGGTAATTTGTTCGTCACTGGTAATAACTGTACGTTATGCAAATAAGGAGCAATACACGGAAAGAGTTGGCAGATTTGATGTATTCTCATTACAATTACAAACAATAAAAACGGCACAGCATTACTCTACCTTCATTAAATGCAAAATTGTGGTAGGCATATTAAGAAAATATTACAAGGAGGATTAATACGTGCTTCAACTGCGATGTTGCTGGTAAAATTAATAAGCACGAATTAATAAGTAGTCGTAACTATTTTTATGAGTCAAAAGTGGAAGTCGGGAGATATTACACTCAGGAACGAAAGGAATTTGCGACGTCTACTAATCAAATTTTATAGTGAACTTTTTGTACCAAAGAAATAAGAAACGTAAGAAAAGATGTATCAAAAGCTGGGCATGTACATCTCCCGAATCATCATGTAGGTGAAGAGTGAAGAAAAGCAGGTTTTACATAGAAGAATAAAAACAAGATACTGTAAACTTTTAACAATGAAAAAACTGAGTCAACTGTTTATATTTTTATTCTGACATAGTCTAGCAATTTGAATTTGTTTTCAAAATAAAGCTTTGATACGTCATGATATTCTATTGTCTGTTTAATGGAATTACGACATATATAAGCATGTTACTGCCCGTATCATGCGTACTTAGTAAGCATTCTATTTGTCACATTGCTACTTACCAAGCGCGACACGTTCAGCCAGGTCCATGGGAGAGTTCGAGCTCCGGACCGCGCTAGTGGAAATGCTTCGATGGGCCCCAGCACCCACAGAAAAATGCATGGGGCCCACACCAGGACAGTCAGCTGGAAGCATCTAGTGAATGTAGGGTGGTCTGTGTTCCAAGTGACATTCAAATCCTGAAAGATAAAAGCGAAGTTAATAGGATTCAGTTTACAGGACAGCAAGTCAAATTAATTTCAGAGATAATTGTATTGCACGTGGAAAATATGAAATGAACTGACTCAGTTCGTAGTGATAATCTTAACAACTTGAAACAATATAACGCATCTAATTCGATCTGTTTGCGTTCGTTTATTTTTTCTTATAAATACCCTTCACTTTTTTTCAGTACAAGAAATGAGATATTTCACTTATCTCTCAAAATTAGGCTGGTAGCAAATGTAACAGGATCAAGATACAGAAAAATATTTAGAGTAAAAGTATGCAATGTGTACATTATTAGTTGATGAAATTTAAGTGTTCCGCATTATCTATGTTACTTGTAATAACATATTAACGATTGGATTTAATGAACTGTTATACGAAATACTTTTTAAACGTACAGTCCAATTTAAAGAGAATTTTACAAAGGATTCTTTCATGCAGTGCAAACTGTAGACTTCACTAATGCAAATTGCTCTAAAGTAAATAACCAATTATTGAAATAAACCTGTTTACAATCAAACATCTTAATTACTTGCGCATCCCGGTAAGAGACAATGTTAACGGTAATGATTCTCTCACTAGTGATTTCAATTTTCCTACCCCTTTACATCTACGCAAAATATACCTGGAAAGGTAAAGAATAACAATGATCAACTTAGAGGTAAATTGAGCACGCATATACAAATATTCACTGGCGGAATAAAGTGCTGCTACACCGGGAAGGGCATGGACGATACTGCTGGCGATAAGTGATATTAAGGGTGGGGGTGGGCCTTAGAGAACCTGATTAATGGAGGCGGATTTTAATGATTTGTCATTTTTTTCCTTTTCAGTTTAGAACAATGCCGTTTATTATAAAATTTAATTTTGTGTTATAACAGAAGCAAATGACCCATTTTCATTTGCATTTTTTGTCGATTTCAACTAACAAATTTTTTTACCTTTTTCCATCGTTATTAAAACATTTTCACTGATTTCGTCGATTTTAATATCATTTGAATGGTACTTACAAATAATATTTATGGGATGCAACATTCTCTCCACAGAATTACTCAGTAGCATATTCAATTTCTTCGCTCATAAATTGTAATGTTAGCCGTTGTGAGTATGTAATCTAACGTTCCTGTGACACCTATCAGCGTCATTGTCGGTTCAGCCCTTTTGGGATAGGAAAAGACAGCTTTTCTGGTAAAGAACAGTCCAAACCAAAAGTTTTCAAGCGAAGTTTACTTGAACGAAAGGGGGTAGTGTCGATTACTCAGTATCACTTGATTTATTCGTGTGAACTGGTTTTTATCAAATCTTTTACGTCATTAGTCTTTCCTTTTGGGCATTTTTAAATCATTTAAGAGCATTTTATTTATCATTTTTGGCGTTGACTTAGGTGATCGAAAACCGTCCCTTACTGATAAACATGTCACGGACGACTGGCGCCCAGGGTGGCGTGACAAAGGAACCCTGCGTCGCCATCTACACCGAGAATTTAAAAGGCGGTGACCACTGTGACAAGGTCTAATCGGGGCACAGTGTGCCAGATAAATGGCCGGGATGCCACTGCATTGCACTCTTGCGTCCTTTGCCTAATTGGACGAGTTTGAGCGGGGCCGGATTGTCGGTCTGAGTGAAGCCGGTTGGTCATTTCGGCGCATTGTTGATCAAGTGGGTAGTGATGCGATGACAGGGCTGCGGTACTGGCGACGATAGGTGACCAGAAGACGACGTTCGGGGCGATCGCGGAGCTCTGACGAATCGACTCGTCGTGAAGGCAGCGTTGGCAGACCGTGTCTCCATTCACCGTTGGGAACCGGTTACTTCCGGGCGGATTACGGTGACGCGCCCTGCTGGCCCGCCTGCCACTCAATCCGGCCCATCGTCTGCCACGTCTGGCGTGGTGCAATGCGCGAGTTGGCTCGGGACGGCGTGGCGCGCAGTGGTGTTCAGTATTGAGAACCGCTTCTCTCTTCATGCTAGTGATTATCACGCACATGTGCATCGTCGCAGGGTCGACCGCGTGCTTCCGGAGTGTGTTCGTCCACGGCACACAGGGCCCATCCCTCTAGTGATACTACAACGCGCGTTCGCCTTTGGTGTCCACGTAGGGCTCGTTGGCCAACGCGGAATATATCCAGCACGTTGTGCGGCATTTGGTGATCCCGTTCTTTGCAACGGAAGGTTGCAGCGCTCTTCCGGCAGGACAGTGTCCGCCCCCCGCACTTCCTACGCTACGCCAGACACCCTCCGCGAAGTTTGCCAACTGCCTTGACCTGCACGGTCCCCGGATGTGCCCCCGATCGAGCATGTGTGGACATGATGAGCCCAGTGCCGGCGCTAGGCACATGCAGACCGGCGATCGCCGGGGACCCCGCATGTCAAGAGGCCTGATGATTGGACTGATGGGAAAAAATAGTAACAAAATTGAACAAATAAAACCGATGAAAATCGTTATTGTATTTTTATAAGTCGTGGGACAGTCTGATATTTCATAAAATTATCAATTATTTTTTTTCCTTAAATATGTTTAGAGCCATTACTTACAAGGTAGATCTGTATAAAATGTATCAAATGACGTTAACATAAAAATAGGTTCTATTGAAATTCATGTTTATTATTTCAAGCATTTAACAAGTGATTTTATTAAACATTAACTAAACACAACAAGGTTTTAGCGTTTTAATACCGTGGAAATTGCATTACGTATTTGATCACTAAATACTTTTACTTAATACTTATTTAAAATATATTTACAAAAATGTTGTTCTAGCTACTATTTGTTATTTGTTGAAATAAAAGAACTCATATAGTTTGATATAAGTTTCACTTTTTTTAATTTTTAGGGGGGAGGGAGAGGGCTCCGTTTCAGCCGAAAATTGTCTAGCTCCGTCATGGATAGGCCAACGCCTGACCCGTGCTGCGACCCCGCCAACAGCCCTACCTCTTCTATGTGCAGGAGGCGTGGTACAGTGTATCCGAGGACAATATTCGCTACCTACGATCGGATGGCTGCCCGCATTCGGGATTATCGTGCAGCTCGAGGCAGATACACATACTATTAATGTGGCATTTCCGTTCTGTTGCTGGACGCGCGAGCCCCATCTGGCTCTGCCAATGTAAACATGTGTTGTCCTCCCTGTGCGTGCTGTATCTGGCTTGTGAACTGTACGGATTTCAATGGGATCTTTGGATCTCGAGAAAATTAAATTGTCTCAAATTAAACAACTCCTCAAATTTAAATATAAAAGTGTGCATCTGTATAAACAAAGTGTAGTGCCTGATTGGTGCGATTCCAGAACTGCTGTATGAAATATTTTCATCCATACTGGACTACAAAGTAGTATTTCTTAGTGAATTATAATGCAGTGAGTACGTATTCCATTTACACAATACGTTTTGCTTTTATGTTCTTCGTCATGACACACGAGACATGTTATAATTCATCCAGTTCTATTAAAGACGCTGAAAACGGACATTCGCTGATGTACAAAGAAATTCAACATTTCTTCTCTCATTTAAAAGCCAATCAAGTGTACACTGTAAACTCACCCAAAACTTAGATCCGCAGAAGTCATCGAGAGGGGAGTAAGTTGAGTTCACGTACAATGGCTGGAGCATCCTCCAGTCCGAGGAATTTTCTAGGCCTGAAACAGCAAGATGGAAAACTTTTGATTACTATAAGATCTCTTTACATTCAACAAAACACTTTTATTTTCAGCAAAAATAATATGTTAGATATTTGGAAAATTCGATCTCGCAAAAATGAAATTATTTGATTAAATGGCTGGCACTTTGATTATTGGCTGGCGCTTCGGTTTGCAAACTTCTAGCAAGACCGATATCTTTTTCCACCTCAGCCTAGTGACTTTACTAACTCGTATTTCTACTATCTTAGCTCATGAAGAGGTATTAATAAGTGTATTTTGCTTGTAGCGAGAATTGCGTTTATTCAGATCTACCAAATTAATTACTGTGAAGCGTGTTTACGACCTTGCAAGTAGCAAACTGAAATGTGTTACAACTTCACAGGCATTCTATAGTAGTTAAACTAGCGCACAATATTACCAAAACGACGTTTCAAAATCATTAGAAACTGGGGTTAGAATTACTACTAGAGACAACCGGATTTACTTCAGAGTTTTCTCTCAATAAGTAAATTCAACACCTACAAACTATAAAACCTCTTATTACGTAGGCTGGCGTTAGTGAAGAAGAAAATCGAGAGTAATTAGTGTGCGTGTATTGGCTCTCTGTGTTTGTCGAGGACAGGCAAGGGAGGGGGACTGGCTCTTGCGTGCTCGATGTACATGGATCTGTGTACCCCATCTTCTTCCACTGCTTCGTGGATTGTGCACGCCGCATATTGGACCAAAACATAGTAAGGTGAACCATTGAGATGCACGGCATTCCGAAAATTTTCCTCATCTTAGGGTTATTATTTAACAAGTAGTTATTAAACAAGTTATTTAACAATATTTAAAAACAGTACACGGCATGATGTAAAAACCTAAGGAGAAAGAAATCTCTCGCTTTAATATTGAAGGTGTAGGGTAATTCCGAAAATAAATTTGAACATTTGCAATTTAGAAAATTTCAGAATTGTAGCTATACAGGAGTTTCATCTAAAGTATCTCCAAAAATGAGAACTCTTCATGATCTCCGGAACGGCGCACTTAGATCTTACACATGATCAGTGTGTCTATCAGGATTCAGGTCAATATTTTGTAATGCGACTTGTGTTATGTACCTGGATGTTACACATACACCCGTCATCCGTCTATGCACCCATCCATCCACAAACAACCCGATTTTAATGCACAAAATTGCATGTATCTCCTCGTCACATGCATCGATCTTTGAACAGAACTAATAGATCGAAGACCTGTCAAGTGTGAGAAGAAATAGCTCAAACTAATCTCAAAGTCGGATTTTAAGTCTGAAAAATCAAGATCGTATTGTTAAGGCGATTCCAAAACCTTTCATCCCTATACTATAGTAAGTGATGCTGCCTCAAAATGTGTAACTAATAAGATAGATTGAAACTATTCACGCTTTCTTCACTTCGGCTCCTCAGACCTTTCCAACTTCACTTTCTGAGGGATTAGTGATCTAGTTTCAGAGCCTAGGCAAATGAACATCACATTTGTATCCAGCCCTATCGTACCTGGACATGTGATCACAGCAACGATGGCTTGCATTTGCCTTCCACAGTATGAATAATGATTCGGTGATCATGAAGGGAGAACGATGATCCAAGGGATGATATTCAGATGGGATTCTTGGATGATCTGAGAAACCAACCACGCCAGAAACACGCGCTGAAAACAAACTTAATGCGGTACCCAATCCACAAATCTCCGTGTTCACAAATACATTCGCTATCGCGGTCGAATGTATAAACTTTTTTTTTTGTTTGTTTCACGAATTGGGCATCATAGACCGACGTGATACGTGCATCCCATCGGCGCTCTGAATTGATTATCGGGGAAGTTGCACGTTACTTTTCTATACGGGGGAATCAGCATTTCAATACTGATTCAATTTGTATGCCCCAGGATGATAGTCCTGGGGGATGGGATTGAAATTATGGTGATGAATGATGAAATACACACACAAACATATAGACACAGATAACACAGCCATACCCGAGGTGGGGCTCGAACTAGTGATCTTCTGGTCCGAGACCGCTACGGCACTACTGCCTTTGCGATTACGGCCATCAAATCGGCATTATATTATTATTATTATTATTATTATTATTATTATTATTATTATTATTATTATTATTATTGTTATTATAATAATTATTATTATAATAATAATTATTATAATTATAATAATTATTATAATTATAATAATTATTACAATTATTATAATTATAATTATTATTATAATTATAATTATTATTATAATTATACTTATTATTATAATTATAATTATTATAATTACACTTATTATTATAATTATTATTATTATAATTATTATTATTATAATTATTATTTATTATTATTATTATTATATTTCCTAAATTTCAACTAAAGATGTTAGGTGTTAGTCATCATAAAAAAGAAGTCCTGGTTTTATCAAGTTTGTTTGTGGTTTTTCGAATGTTTCTTAGTGTGGTTCTTATTACTATGCGCCTTCCAACAGTGCGTTTTCCACTTTCCTTCTGTGACGCCTAAAAGACGCGTCGTATTGACGTCTGCTTTCATTGTTTGCCGTGATTTCATAGGAAATATAGTCCCTCATTGGTCCCGCAGTGTGTGGCGTCGCCTGGGCGGGAAGTGAACTTCCATGTAGGCGGGACGGGGGTGGGGGAGAGGGGCGCCGGAGCGGTAGGGGCCGCTGCTTCCTGGAAGGGAAGGAGGCGGGTGGGGAAAGCGCGGCGCTGGCACCCGCACCTCACCTCACCACCCACCTGCGCCTCTCGGGAAGGAAACGCCGGCCTCTTTTCCTAGGTACCGGCTGACGGGGCTCAGGTATCAACACGTGTTACTGCAGTGCCCCTGTCCGCAAGGTCCTAGGGTTCTACTGCCGACGGTGGCAGGAATTTTCGACACTAGCAAGATAGCTAGGTAGAGTTCAGTAGCTGTCTAGAAGAGAATTCCAGCAGACGGCTACTCTGATCGGGCGTTTTCCTTGGTTTCTTCGATCAACACCAGGTGAATGCCCGAGCAGTACCTTAACAAACGGGATACGGTTTTTCCAGATTTTGTGACTCTCAAGTCATGAATATTTACATTAGCGGCAATTTGAATACATTATTGCATGTGTGAATACAAGTGCTTCAAATGATGTCTCATAAAGTTCCTCGATAACAATATTCTGTAAAAATGAACTCAAAATTCCGCATTTTTAGAAACCCTCAAGCGCCATTTTCTTGAAAAAGATCCTGATTTTTTCCTTTGATATTCCACTAAGTCTAGCTAGTGTCGAAAATCCTGGTGTCGTCGAGACTGCCATCCTAAGACCTCCCGTGCAGAGGCACTTAACTGTTATCAGTTGGTGGCCTGAGGTGCCTTTCCGGTCACATTCTATCGAGTAATCCTCGTTCTTCTTTCAGCTTTCTCGTCTAGCAGACGGCAATCGGCGCAATTCGCGTGTCCCTGCATTGCTCTCTCTCTCTCTCGGACGCGAAGGGCAAGGGAGTCGGGGGCGGGGGGCGGGGGCGGGGGCGAGGCAGCGCGAAGGCGCTCAAAGCGACCCGCCAGTGTGTTCCGCTTTCGCGCTCCGCAAGGTCGCACTGCCGCATGGCGAAGTCGGGCAGTCGAGAGCGTCGCGGCCGCCTTCGCACTGCCACGCGCGCAATAGAGACAATGTGTAGCGCTACAACAGCGCATACTTTCTCGCATTATTTCTACCTTTGGAAAGGTTTGAATATTCAAAGAGGGCAACCAAAAATGGAAACTGCGTCATTGTCATAATCGTACGTATACGACCAAAAATTGAAGAAAATATGTTGTGGCGTTTTGTACAAAATGTTGTTAAAATTGCTTTTGTTGCGCGCAAAATTACGCGAAAATCACTCATGTTCGAAAAAGTGTAACATAACCTAATTTAAAGCAATATGATTGTGGAAAAGTCTTTATAATGGAAAAAAGCTCCATCTTCAATATTGTATTGTCGGAATTAACGAAAATAGGACCTGCGACATTTTTACAAGCATACTTTGCTGTTTTTTAAGAAAAAAATTGAGAAGGGATTTGGAGCCATTTTTGAGAAAATTTTGAAAATGTTTAAATTTTATGTAAAGAACCTCCCAAAATTAAATTATTCGTTTGAAATTTAAGGGGCCGCAACATCAGTCAGATCGATGCGGAATATGAATTGTGATGGAAATTCTCTCTCCGCTAGCGGTTTTCGCGAACGAACCGACGGACTGAGGAACTAACAGACCGCCTCACAATCACGTAGACAGTTAGGCACAATCACATAGTGCAGTATGCATGTATGCATGCAAAAGTTGTTTTTCTTATGAAAAGTTGATGTTTTCCGCTGCCACATTACAATACTTCAGGGAATGTAGACAAAGGCAAATACATCAAATCTGTAGAATAAAAACATCTAGAAATATAAATATTTTTATTATAAATAATAGTGTACATTCCCTTCTGTAAAGCATTCAGGAAACGCGACAGCTTTTTACCATTTATATGAAACGTTGGGATTACAACCCCTGTAAGTATGCTTCTGATGAATAGGGAATTGAGCCCAAGCCTGCATCAAAGAGATTTAAGGCGAATAAAAATAACAATATTGCAGATTGTGTTATAAGGCAAATTGCAGGTGCACATCGCAACACACATTATCCAACAATTTACGTGACCATCGTGCAAAACTCGAAAACTATGCGATTTAAAAATCATAAATCCAAATTTTACTATCCCTCAAAGGACGTTCGAAGTTGAGGTTTCAGTATGAAGCATTTTTTCAATTCCAGGTTTTTCTCTTCGTTCATAAGCACTTATTAATATTATTGAATGTTTACACACGCACAGTACTGGGTGTACGAAAATGCTATATCTCACTGTTAATTGTCCTCTGTTAAGGGTTTGAATTTCGGTTTCCAGAATGAAACTCTTCACAAAGTGCGGAGTTTTCGCACGGGAATAGAGGTTATTAGAGGGAATAGAGGTTAATCAGA